ACAATCTGGTAATATTTACCTTACAGCAAAGCTAACTGAGGGTAGATAGCTGTCTTCAAATATCTGAAGAGTTGTCACATAGAAGAGGGAGTGCTCATTCCCTCTTGTCAGAGGGCAGAAGCAGAACCAGTGGAATAAACTACAAAGGAAGTAGGTTCAGGCTAAATACTGGGAGGAACTACCTGATGGTGCCACCTGTTAGCCAGTGGAACAGTCTGCCAAATGAAGTGGTGAGTTCTCTTTCCCTGAAGATGAAACCGAAGCTGGATGGTCATCTGTCAGAGGTGTTGTAGGGCATTCTGTTCTGAACAGAGTTGGACTAGATGACATCTGAGGTTCCTTTCAACCAGGCCATTCTATAATATCAATCCACTTACATGAAATCATTGCAAGAAACATCAGCAGAAGTTGTTACACAAGCAATATAGCTGCAGCTTATAAGGTCAGCTCTTCTAGAATTGGGTTACTTCCTTGTTTCTCAATGGATGACAATATTGTATTAATAATCACCAACATTTCCCTTAGCATGACCTCTAACCAGTCATGTTAAAACTATTGATTAGAATTAGAAGCCTCTATGATTATGAAAGAAAAAGACCATCATTAGGATAGCAGTTTCTTGAATGATTAATTAGCCTGGGGAAAATTGATACCGAGGAATCCAAAGGAACGTTTCATCTGAGTCATAATCAGTGCAGCAGTTCAGTGCTGTTGCTTTGTCACCAATGGGCAACCATTTAAGTTATGTTTCCTGGCCTTTTAAAGTCAAGTCTCTCTCATACTGAGCTTGACTCCCAGGGACTACATGGACATATCCATGTTAGTTTGTTGGCTTGCCATTGCCTTCTTTTGGGATATTGTCTCCATTTCCCAATCTAGTCTATGGCTCTGGGTTATCTTGATGGTCTCCCATCCAAAAGCTAATCAGGTCTGACAGCTTAGCTTTTTCAAGGTCAGCCAAGGTTGGCTAAGTGCTACACTTGCTGTGACTATGGACTTGTGCTTTTAATTGTAGACCAAAACATTCATTATTATGATGGACAACCTAAAAATTACTAAATTAAGTGAACATTTTTCATATTTCTCTCTATGCTAGGAAAAATGTTTTTCCTAGATTTGGAGAATATCGTACTTGTTAAACACACGCGAAAGAAGGCAGTAAAACCAAACCAATCACAGATGACATGGAAACCTGAATGGAAAATTCTAAATCTAGTAATTGGAACAGCAACTCCAACTGTGACATTTACCTGCAGAATTGACAAGATAAATGCCCTAGCCCGGGGGGAGAAAAAAATGGCTATTAACATCCCTTAGCATCATAGCATGATTCAACTAGATATTATAATCCAAAGGATGAAGCCTGTAGTTTTAGCAAATACAGACAGTAGAATAGCTTTAACTGTGTACCACAAATCTCAGTTTGGAAGTTTCAGAATGTAGCTGGAGGATTCCTACCTTTCCACCACTTATAATTCTCTATTTCAGCTGAATGCTATTTTGTACTAAGCAAAAGGGAGCAAAATGTGCCAGAAAAGCCTAAGCGCTAAGACCTCTATGGCAGCCAGGGAAAGTCTGGGCCTTCTGGAATATAGTTGCTTATTATTACTTGTATAGGTAAAATGCAGAAGAAGAAAACTGTGAATTTAGACATTTAGGAATTTTCATATATACATATATACATATATATATTGCTAAAGTAGACATTTCTGATAAAATATACAAATCTGAAACTATGCCATACACACCACTCACTTCTGCGGTTTATCACATTTTAATTTCTCCCTTCCACAGGGGAGATATATCCATGGGTGCCCTGCTCCATTTTCTATATTCATAACTACCTTGCAAATTAGTTTAAGCTCAGAGACTGAGATTGGCTCAGGGTAACCAGTTGACATCTAGGTCAACAGGTGCAAGTGGTCCCTGATGATAGTCCCTGATGATAGATATCCCTGATGATATCTCTCAGCTTCCCCAATCTGGCACCCTTCAGATGCATTGGACTACGTTCACCGTCATCCCCACCACCGGGGGCAATTTAGGCTTGCTAAAGATGGGACTGCAGTCAACACATGTGAATGGGGTCAATAATTATAGGGACATGTTCTAGCCAAAGGACAGAAATATTTGCAGAATACGGGAATGATAGGAGTGAGAAAATGCTCCTATACAAAACAATGACGACAAAAGAGAATGTGAATATTATCTGAATTTTAAAAAGTGTTATTGTGATGTATATTGTTTTTAAAAAAGCAGAATTTAAAGTAGACTTTTGGTGATCAGGTTTGTGATTTTTTTTTGGAATTTATGTAAATAAAGTGCTTTTTTATTATTGAAGTCTTGGGCAATGATAAATTCTTACATAGATAAGGTTACCAGACCTCCAGCAAAGGAGGACATGCGCTCCTTTTTGTCCCCATGTCCTCCATCCAGCAGGCGTAGCCTTAAAATCAAATATTGTGCGGCTTTTTGAGTCTCTCTTCCGGAGCAGCTTTTCTACCCAGTGCAGCAGTCCCTAATAAGTGCTAACTGCAAGTTAACAAGCTCTGCTCTATGACCTTAATTAGCTGATTAGTACCCACTCAGCAGCTTGCCTGCTGCCTTAAACTGACAAGCCCATCCTCACAGAAGAGGATATATGTAGCTCAAGGTTGAACTGTGCAGTCCTTGGTTGTTTCCTTGCAGAGGTGTCATTGCCCGGCTAGGTTACATCTTCAGTGCTAGAAGGGAGTGGGGTTTGCTCTCTGTTTATATACAGTAGCTTGCCCTGTCAGTGTCGGAGGGGGTGTTTTTTTTTCTTGGTAGTTCCTTGATTAGGCTGTTTACTGCTTGTTTGCCTGGTGTTAATCCCTGTTTATCTGAGTGTTGACTGCTGGCGAGGAGGTGTTCTGATCTTTTTGTTTCCTTTTCATTGTCTCTTTTGAATCATGTGTACATGTTTATCTCTATATGCCTGTTGATGGCTGACTTGTCTGAATACCAAACTTCCAGGAATTCCCTTGTGTTTTTGGATTTATTTTGGTCTAGGATGCTCAGAGTTTCCCAGTTGAAACTATGATTATGTCTGTCCATGTGTTGTGAAATTAAGGAGTTTTGTGTCTTCTGACTGCTAGTTGGTGTTCATGGATATGCTCTGCTAGCCTTCTGCCTGTCTGTCCTACATAGTGGCTGCTACAGTCCTTACACCGAATGTTGTAGATGACCTGTTTTTTCTTCTTAGGCTACTGGTCTTTTGGTTTACTTAAGTTTTGGTGGACTTTAGTTGGTTTGTGGGCTACGGTGATACTGTGTGGTTGTAATAGTTTGTTGGATGTTTCTAAGATGTTTTTGATGTATGGTAGCGTTATCCTTTTCATAGCTTGGGTTGGTTGTGATGTAATGGGTTGAGTGGTCAGGCACTTTTTGATAAAGTTGCACGGGTATCCATTTTGTTGGAAGATGTTGTATAGGCAATACATTTCCTTTTTCTGGTGTTCTGGGTTGGTGCAGTGTGTTCGTACTCATCTGAATAATGTTCATACACAGCTCCTCTTGTGGGAGGTTGGATTGTTACTTTGGTAATAGAGCACTTGGTTAGTGTGGGTTGTTTTTCAATAGACCTGCATTTCTAATTTGCTGTTGTTTCTTCTGCTGATGAGGATATCCAGGAAGAGTAGTGTGTTGGTTTTCTTCTTCCCTTGTGAATTTTACTCCTTTGAAGATGTTGTTGATTGTTTCATGTGTCTTCTCCATGTGACTATGACTACCATCTTTTCCCAAAATTAAATGAATATCTCTGTGGGCATATGCTTGACTCAAATCAAGAGGCAAAAAGGTGGTTAGGACTGGTTGACAAGACACAGTGTGTGGTTTTAAGAAGCTTGTCCATTGTCAGCTAATGGTAGTAATTGTGGGAGAAGTCAATATGGGTAACAAAACAACTCCTTTCTAGGATTATTATCCTTTCATTGATTAAAATATTCCTGTTGTTGTTGTTCAGTCGTTAAGTCGTGTCCGACACTTCGTGACCCCATGAACCATATTG